AGAGATCGAGTACAAGAGAACAATAAACCAAATTATTAACCAACTAAACCAACACTAAGTTCAACTAGCTAAACCAATCTATATACTCTAACAATCCACTTGTTGCATATTGTAATAAATAGCTGCGGTTAAAAACTTCTTAATTTTTTATGTTTGTGTAAGAATTCTATGTTCATATCAAATTAAGGAGTGCCTTAATTGGTATGCACCAGCTGCGATTGGTATTCAACATTTTCTTTACCCGGAACTAAGTTTGCGCCTTAATTCATCAACAAGCAAGTGAACTTCTTTACCCTTTTTTAAGTCCTAGATTATTAGGGACCACGTTGACCATACACGCGTATATCAGTCAGCCAAGTCAAGTAAACTGCTCTACCACATATCTGTGACCACAAGTGAACAAAAGTTATAACTTATTTGATACGGCATAACAATTTGTAGCCACAACTCAATGAACTAATCCGAAAGCTATTGCTTATTTCCCAAACAATGCTAAGGAGTAATACTCTATAAAGTCCAAACCATTCTCAAGAAAATAAAGGAAATGTCTCCCTCGATGGCAATCCAACATTTCACCCATATCCATCCATTAACCAAGGTTGACGGACAGGGTGGGTTCATGTGCAATGGCTGCAACACCTACGGCTTTGGGACGACCTACCGTTGCGTCACCTGCGACTACGATCTTCACGATCATTGTGCCACTTGTCCCCCTACCCTCCTCAGCTTTATGCATCCACAGCACGAGCTCCAGCGAGTCTTTAGAGGACCAGACCAGAGGCAACATAACAGACGTATGTGCGACATCTGTGACAAATCAGTCGAGGGGCTCTATTACCATTGCGAGCCTTGCGACTTTGATGTCCACCCACTTTGCACCTAGCTGCCTCAGCATGTGAGGTACGTGCCTCACCCGGACCATTACTTAGAGCTGAGTTACTCCGGAGCTAGCAACACGTGAGGTTTGCCGTGGTGCGATCCAATCTTGGCGGTATAAGTGCGGTCTATGCAGGTTAGATGTTCACATGGGATGCGTGAATTCATCTGCATCAGCAGGGCCGGTAACTCAGGAAAGGTATATTGCGTCGCAACCACAGTTTCACCATTGTCAGTATAACCAGCCTTATTACAATCAAGGTTATACAAATCAAGGTCAGATTCAAAAGCAGCAGCGTGGGTTTAAACGAAGAAAAATGTTTCGCACTCTGATGAAACTAACGATTAAGGTTGTCTGCACTTACATCGTTGGACATGCCTGAGGCAGCGGCTTTTGAAATGGCTCCGTCTCTAACGTCACGCCATTATTTGTCTTACTTTACTTCTCTCTTGTTTTTGTTTGGTTTCTTATTTTTTGTGTTATACATGTTGTAACTTCGGTTTAATAAACTTACGGTGAATCAATGAAGAGAGGAAGACAAAATTATTGTAATGTTCTTGTGTGTTCTTATAAAGCTTTTGGGAACTTATTACATTATGTATGTCTTAGGTCTCTATTGTTAATGTTTGCTTTCTTGTTTTGTGTTATACAATAAATTTACAAAATGTACGACTTACCATCTTCAATTATATGCAACATACTATAATAATTTGCATACAAGCTTCGTAGTAATGGATTGGCAACAAAGACTTCGTAGTAATGGATCGGCAACAAACGTGTCATTTAGCTCCATCATTTGGACATTGGTTCAACAAAGACTTGGACTCACACCGGTGATCTTCAGCTCTTGGAATGAGCTCACAGATTGGACAAGCACGGCGACTCAATCATCTACTATGAAGCTTAGGAGACTTGTGGCCCAGGCTACGCTGTACAAAGTGTAGACAACGCAACAACCTGATACACGACCTGCAAATTGTACCCCCTGAAACTTTCTTCAAGCAAATCGACTACCTGATGCACAAAGATGCTCGCACTCTATCTGGCCTCCAAATTTCTAGATCTTTCATTAAACACTTTTCGGACTGAAATATCTATATTCTAGAATTTGATTAGCTAAAATCTAGTCTTAAACATTATAAATGATAAGAATCTTACCCTAAGCAACATCAATTATCACTAATCTAGTAAGCCCAACCCAATGAAAGACTACTCAATAATTATTAAGAGAAACAGAAGCTAAGATAAAGAAATACTAATATAAAATGGGATTACGAGATAGTGATCCGAAAGATTCCTCATGAAATGCCATTAAAAAAAAATAATAATAATAATTCTTCTTCCATCAAATTGAATGGACGGGTTAGCCCATTTTGGGACAAGAGGGTTGATGTTTCTCCGACAATGGTTCTTTGCGCCAAAGCATAAAAAAAATATGATCCCATTCTATCATATTTGTTCGTATCAATTTATACGATTCAGTTCTACGAAATATATATTTCGATTTCAAATACTGTGCGGGAATGAAAGTTCATCGATGTTCATACCAAAAAAAAGAAAAGAAAGTTCATCGATGTCTCCGGCTTTAATCAACTTTTCTTAGGTTTAATCTTTATGGTTAAGTGCTTCATAATTCTCTTTTTTCTTTCGTTAAACTTAAATATTTTAAAACTATTGTGTATTCTGTTATTTTTTGCGAATCGTTAGTAAATTCTCCTACATTTTTTTGTTGAAATGAATATTAAATTATATTGACACAAAAAAAATACAGTCACTGTTACTCTCGATCAACATCACTGGAGTGCGTTTCACCAGCTGTTGTGACGGGTATTCAACATTTTCTTACTTGGAATTTAGTTTGCACCTTTTTTTTGGGTCAAAATTTAGCTTGCACCTTAATTCATCAATAAGCAAGTGAACTTCTTTTTACTTTCCTATTAGGGACCACGTTGACCACAAACGTCTATATGGTCAGTCAACTTAGCCAAGTCAACTAAACTGTTCTACCACATATCTGTAACCACAAGAGGACAAAAGTGACATTTATTTGATAAGGAATAACAAATTGTAACCATGCCGTACTAATCCGAAACTTCTTGCTTATTTCCCAAACAATGCTAGGTAATAATAGTCTATGAAATACTACAAAATCCTAACCATTCTCAAGGAAATCAAACGAAAAACAAATGAAGGAAATGTCTTCGTCTATGCCAATCCAACATTTCACACATATCCATCCATTAACCAAGGTTGACGGATATGGCTGGTTCACATGCAATGGCTGCAACACCTACGGCTTTGGGACGACCTACCGTTGCGTCTCGTGCGACTACGATCTTCACGATCATTGTGCCACGTGTCCCCCTACCCTCTTCAGCTTTATGCATCCACAACACGAACTCCAGCGAGTCTTTAGAGGACCAGAAGGGCAACAGAACAGACGTATGTGTGACATCTGTGATGAATCAATTGAGGGGCTCTATTACCATTGTGAGCCTTGCGGCTTTGACATCCACCCACTCTGCACGCGGCTGCCTCAGCATGTGAGGCACGTGCCTCACCCGGCCCATTACTTAGAGCTGAGCCACTCGGGAGCTAGCAACACGTGCGTGGTTTGCCGCGGTAGAATCCAGTCATGGCGGTACAAGTGCGGTCCATGCAGGGTAGATGTTCACATGGAATGCGTTACTTCGTCAGCTTCAAGAGGGCCCGCAACTCAGCAAATATGTTATTATATATATCAAGGTCAGGGTCAGCAGTTGAGTCCGAGTATGGGAAGAAGAACGTTTGCCATTCTCATGACTCTAACTGTTGGAGTTGTCTGCAATCTGATTTCTGGGGGCCTAGTCGGCTAGTCTTGAAATGGCTCGTCTCCAACTTCACGCCATTATATGTCTTATTTCTCTATTGTTTGTGTTTGCTTTTTCCGTGTTATATAATTAATATATAAATGGTACGTGTTACATCTTCATATATACGCAACATACTATAATAACTAGCAATCAAACTTCCAAATACTGAATCGGCATCGAATTTAATTGGAACAGCAATATCTTTTCTGAAGAATATATTGGAAACGTGGGGCTACCGGAGGGAATTTAAGAGTAAATGTTGTACCTCTCTGTAAGAAAAAAACTTGCATTACTAATGATTCGATCAATGAAAATTTCTTGAATGATTTGACACATGGAACGAGTCTCATATCTCACCGTCCCAAAGTCTTCTCGTCTCGTGAACAAATGACTCGTTGTTTATTTCAATATTTGAATTATATCGTTGTACAAAAATAGTATACTCAATCTATTTCAT